ATTCCATGTGGCTATTTATCATCCTTAATGTTGTTACTAAATTGTGTATTTGTGTGTATATGTACACTATACATTTGCATGTATGTCTACAGAAAAATTCACTTGTCAATTGTGTTACACTGTATGGAGCATAGGCGAATAAATACGGTGAAGGTATTGTCATCAAACAGGATGGCTTTGAGGGCTTGAATGGCTTAGAGGCCAGGAATACTGTGGCGAGTAACTCACCTCCTGACTCCCCAAAGCCTGTCCATCATCTACAAGGCACAAGTCAGGAGTGTGATGGAATACTCCCCACTTGCCTGGATGGGGGCAGCTCCAACAACACTCAAGAAGCTCAACACCATCCAGCCTGTTTCATTGGCACCACATCCACCACCTTAAGCATGTATTCATTTCATCGCCAACGCTCAGTAGCAGCTGTGCTATCTACAAGATGCACAACAACAAATCAGCAAGGCCTCTTAGACAGCACTTTCCAAACCCATGACCTCTACTACCTGGAAGGATAAGGGCAGTTGACACTCCCACCTGCAGGTCTCCCTACAAACTGCACATCATCCTGACTTGTAATTATATTCCCTCACTGGCACTGGGTCAAAATCTTGGGACTGCCTCCCTAATAGCTCTGTGGATATTTCTACACCACATAGATTGCAGGGATTCAAGAATGCAGTTCCCCATTAGGTCAAATAGTGATGGGTAATAAATACTGAATGAGCTGTTGATGCCCATATCCCCTCATTAAGCAAAAAAAAAATCAAAGCACCTTCTTCTAACAGCACATTTTGAGCAACACATTCAATTCTCTAACCTTTTTACACCATCACAAATGGGCATATGTCTCACATAACAAACCAATGATTATTACCATTCAGGCTTTGCATTTTCATTTGGACCCTAACTCCTCAAGGTCTCTCCGTAGAATATCCTTCCTCCGTGCACCTGTTGAATCCTCCCCCCATTGCCACTCCACATTCATCTCCAGTTGCAGGGAGAGCTCTTTAACCCTGGCACTGAGCAGGCTGTGTGACTATTGGAACTCCAGGCTGCAATTGTGGAGAACAGTATCTGCCTCCCTGACTATACCATCCCCTGTCAGTTTTCTACTTCCTTCACTTCATCTTGTCCCTCTCAAAAAACTGTCATTGAGTGTGAAGGAATTAAGTAAGGAGCAGTGAGACAAAATAATGTCATTGACACACTCTGTGAAGTTCAAATAGCACAGCTTGATTAATTTCAGGAGCAGATCTCATAGAATCCCTACAGCATGGGAGCAGGCTATTTGGCCCATCAGGTCCCCAACAACTCTCTGAAGAACATCCCACTCTATCCCCAAAACTCCACATTTCCCATGGCTAACCCACCTGGCCTGCAAACTACAGGGCAATTTATTATAGTCAATCCAACTAACCTGCACATCTTTGGCTGTGAGGGGAAACCCATGCAGACACGGGGAGAATGCGTAAACTCCACACAGACAGTCACCCAAGGCTGAAATCAAACCCAGGTCCCTGGCGCTGTGAGGCAGCAGTGCTAACCATTGAGCCACCGTGCTACCCAAAGAATGGGAGCCATGCTTCTATTTGATCAAATTAATATCCTTTCATACCTGTCACTTCTAGTTTTGGTAGAAGCTGACTATTTTCTAAACTACTCCCCTGATCTAATTGTTCTGGCATTGATTGAAGCCCACATTCCCACAAAAGGCTTCACAAGGGCTTTCATTTGAGCACCAGCATCAAACACATCCAAACTGTCAGAGGAGCAGTTTGGGAAGGCTGGTAGACTGAATGAGAAATGACAAGTCTCACGCGGGTTTGAAGTAGGATCAGATTCTTACATTGTGACTTTGTTTGGCTGTGTGGCTCTTTGGGATTGGCCGGCACTGTGGTGGACACAGTCATGTTGTAAGGTCCTCTTGGACATAAAGCTTGGCAGATACCTAGCAGTTAGAGCATTCCATACCAATGCATAATGGACCAAAGGCATCAAACACGGAAACAAAGGCTTCTATTAGGAAGAACTATCAACTTTTTCCAACATTTAGCAAACAGCTAATGGAGTTTTATTAGTAGAGACCACAAAGCATCAATGAACGCAATCATAGCATTTTACATTTTGGGAGGGTCTTCAGCATATTAAGTCTGGGCTGTTGTTTTGAAATGTACAATGGGTCGTACTCCTCTGCTCTTTTTCCCTGGCCTCCTTTTTAAGTGTGCACCTAATTTTCTTTTGATAAGTATGAGTGAATCCGCTTCCTCCTTCAGTTCAGGGAGTACATTCCAGATCATAACATCTGGCTGCCTGAAAAGTGCATTCTCATTTCCTCTCTGCTCCTTTTGCGAATTACCTTAAATCTGTGCTTCCTATTTACCAACCTTCCTGCCACTGGGAATTGTTTGTCCCTTTGCACTCTGTAGAAATTCCTCATTGTTTGGAACACCTCACGTGAATCTCTGCTCGAGCTTCACTGCTCGAGAAGAACTATCTGACCGTCACTAGTCTATCCGTCCAACTGAAACCCCTTATCCCTGGTGCCATTCTAGTTAATGAATCTCCATAGCACCCTCTATGTACATGTCATTTTCAAGGGGTTGAGCAACAAATCATTTTCGTTTCAAGACAGTGGAGGTAATTTTGAGAGAGAGGTGATGAGACAGATAGGTATTAATATGACTTTTCTGATGCATGATGTAGACATATTCCAGGAAACTTTTACATTTGCTTCAGTGTTTACTGGGGTTTGGTTTTTGAGATTTTACCATGTCTGAGAGGCAGAAACTGAGGAAAGGAAAATGTATAAAGATGAATAGATACTGATGCAATTCTGTAGAAATGGTGCTCAGTTAATTTACAAGATCCATAAAAAAACTGAAGCTCATAAATCAGATATATATTTGATTGAGAAAAATGTGAAGGGCTATGGGGAAAGAGCAAAAGACTAACTGGATTGTTTTCAAAGGACTAACACAGGTACAATGGGCTGAATCTGTGCTGAAAAGACTCACTAGAAAGGTTCCATGACTGACACTGCTGTACCTCTGTTACTGACGTTGGAAGATTTTACAAGTCCAAATTTCTGGTGCAGGATAACACACTCTGGAAGTGCATGTTAAGGATTTAGGAAACGGAATCATAGAATCCCTACAGTGTGAAAGCAGGCCATCCAGCCCATTGAGTCCACAACACCCCTCCAAAGAGCATTCCACCCAGCCCTTAAACCCTGCATTTCCCATGGCTAATCCACCTAGCCTGCACATCCTGGACACTACGGGCAATTTAGAGTGGCTAATCCACCGAAATTGGACTGTGGAAGGAAACCGGAGCACCCAGAGGAAACCCACACAGACGCAGGGAGAACATGCAAACTCCACTTAGACAGTCACCCAAGGCTGGAGTAGAGCCCGGGGCACTGGGGCAGCAGTGCTAATCATTGTGCTATCATGCCAACCACATAAGAACATGGGGGACTAAAAGAAAGTACAGTGTCCTACGTTCACAAAATCTTCCCTTACCCTCACAGGCTGGTTGAGCTGGCAGCTCGAGTCACAGGACATCACAATGGAACACATGATGACATTAGGGCAGGAAATGATGGCACAATAGCCCCTTTCAAAACAAGCCCATTTGTGACTCTGACCTGCTGCTGTTCAACTTTGTTTATGGCTGTGAGGACAGCTCACTTGCAAACCTCAAAACTTGCCAGCGAAACCTTCTCACAAAGCATCAAAGCAGCTTGAAACCCATGGAAATGGCGAACTGAGGAGCAGCCAATATATGAATGAAATAGTCACAAGAAACTTAGAGATGGCCGTTTGTTTCATGAAGACAAGTCTATATCGGGCATGCGTCAACATCAAAACTTAATCATCACTGTGAAGATCTATAAAGACATGCTGAGAGCCTTGTGTGCCCATGGTGATCCACATTTATCATCAAGGATCTGAAAACAAAATATGTTCAGGGTGGACTTATTTCCGAGTTGCGTTGGCAAAGATTTCTAGAGCAACACAGAAGTCTGCTCTTTTAAAATGTGTTAGTCCCTTGAGATATTAAGTTGAATGTTTAGAGCTGCATGCTGAAAAGCATCGGATGGTTAAACTATAGCTTTGACATTTGGAATGACAATAAGACATTTCTCAAGTAAGAGCAGGGATTTTAAAGAGAAGAATCTATTTGGAGCCCTTTGACAGACTGTGTCAATGAAAGTAAAGAGTTAAGCCAGAAAAACTTGTATGAAACAGGACACAAACCTATTGGAAGGAATAAGGTATATTTCTAGCCAGAGCAGTTGAAACTAATCTAAGTTGAGATCCAGAATCAAAAGAAATTGAGACAAAAGGAAGTTCTGATCTATCTTCCTATATCTCAAAATAAAATTGTCATCGCCTTTGGGGAATTCCAGTTTTTTTATGAAGGTGAAACATTTTAGAGGTGTTATCAACGACACAATTTAAGAGAAAAGAAAACCTGAGGAAGAGTCTATGTAGGTTTGGGTGCTCTCTGCAATAAGGAGTTGTACTAATCATAAGGGATCTCTAGCCCTGTGTTAAAGGCCATAATAGGAAATCACTGAGACTGCGAAAAAATACTAAACATTAAAATACGATCAACTCTTGTGAAGATTTGTGAGGGGAGGCTGAGAGCACTGTGATCCAATTAACATACGTGTTTTTAAACTTCTCCATAGAAAGGTTTTGTTCGAAGCATCTTGCACCAAGGCAAAAAAGACAGAAGTGATTAAAATATCCATCAAATTTAATGCATGCATGGAATCAGAGAATAGAAAATTGAAGATAAAGACCTATGATTGAGTACATCAGTTCTCCCGTGTTTCCATTCTGCAAGGCAAAAAGGAACATAATTATAAAAAAGATATTCTGAGGAAGAGATTGTACGGGGCTGGGATCTGTGTCCCAGGAAATAAAGACAGAAAGTGATAGCTATAAATACAGCAGGGAGAAGTGTGGACATCTGCGATTCCACAGTGAGTAACAATGACGAGCAGCAAAATGGAAGCCCTGCTGAATTCGATTATGGAGGTGCCTTTGGATGAAAGTGGTTTGGTGAGCAGGACGGTATCTGCATCCCTTCAGGAACTGGGACACGTGGATGCGGAAGGGGTCCTCATGTTCTGTCGCAAGTACGTGATCCACCACCGGCGGTTGCCCCTGGTCCAGCGCACGGCGCTGCTGAAGGCTATGGCACAACTGGTGAGGGAAAACATTGACGACGTGGGCCGAGGGGCGGCGAAGAAACTCATCACCTTGGCTTCCATCGAAATGACCAAAACGAAGGACGTGTCCGATGAGCACCAGGAGGTCGCGAGCCAGCTGTTGCTGAGTGTGGGCCATTGGTTCACCAAGGAGGCTTTCGACGAGCTGCTCTCGATGTTTCAACCAAAGATGAGCCCCTTCTTTTTTGTGGTGTTGGCCCTGGCCAATCTCTGTAAAGAGCACGTGCATTTTGTGGTCCCCTTACTGAAGCCTGTGCTTCACACTGTGCTGATGATGCTCCCTACTGTAACAGATGAGAAAACCAAATGGGTGTTCTGCTTTGCTTTGGGGATTTTTAGCGAGAGCATTCTTGCCTACCTCTTTGACATAGAGGAGGCCCCAGACCCCACGGTGAAGAAGAATTTATTCTTCCAGGAGTTCTCTGAGGCTTATGACATCCTGTTCAATGTATGGCTGCCCTTTAATGAAAGGAATGTGAGCACAGCAGTGATCGAGACGCTGGGCCAGATAACCCACCTGATCCCCTTCGACAAGCTAGAGAATGAGCTCCCCAGGTTAATACCGGCAATCCTCTCCATGTACCAGGAAACGGCCAGTGATTTCTGTGTCACCCAGGGCCTGTATGGAGTTCTGCACACTGCCGTGGAGAGGAACAGCGAGGAGCTGTTGCTGCAAGTTGACAGTCTGCTTATCAACTTGCACAATCAGATCTGCATCGTGGTGGAGCAGTCGGCCGATCCATACTCTCAGAAACAGCAGAAAGAGATCCTGTGCTGCTTCAAGCTCCTGACGCCATCCTTTACATTCCAGATTGTGGATTTCCTCCTTTTAAAGCTGGAAAGCACCAACAACCAGATCCGACTGGGAACACTGATGGTGCTGGATCACCTCATCAATATGGTACCGCTCTACGTAGCCAACCAAAAGAATCAGATTCTGGCCAGTATGAAGTTACTGGTCTTAGCTAATGATAACCGAGTGAAGGGAAAGCTTGGCCAGGTCATCTACACCATGGCGCGGCACAATTACCTCCATTTGGAGGGAGGAAAGGATATGGTGGAGTTTGTCATCCGACAGTGCTCTCTGCCTCCTGCAGAGAATGAGAACCCTCTCGAGCACCCTTTCAGCGTCACTGACGATGTGATCACAGACTGCGATTTACGGCGGTGGTGTGAGGAGTTGATGAAATTGTTGACAGCGTTACCCATCGAAAACGTTCTCTGGCCATTTCTCTTCGAGTTTATCATCCCCGTACGATGCACAAACGCATTGGCCACAGTTTGCAATTCCTTGGTCGCCCTGGCGATGAAGAAACTAGAGGCTGGGTTGACAGAGAGTTTTCTCAATTACAAGGAGAATCCCAATATTCCTGGGCCTCATGCACTGCTAACCCAGCTGCTGACGATGGCGTCTTCTCTACACGAGGGAAAAAGCAGGTGTGCATCTGCTGTGGTCCTGCTGCAAGTCCTGGGCACGGATATCCACCCGGCAGCTCCTCAAGCCTGGGAAAAGGAGTTCCCAACTCTACTTGACTATCTGCAGGAAAACTCAAAGAAGTCCATGCTCCAGAGCCAATGGGAAGAAAAGCTAATAAACGTTTTGTTTCAGACCCTGGAGTTGATCATGGATGAGGATTGGCTAAGCCAACTTGTCAAAGAGCTGATTAACTACCTTCACAGCCATTATAACTTTCCGCAGGAGAAAGGGTTCGTCTATAAGTGTTTGGGAGCAGTACTGCAAATGATCCAGAGTGAAGAAGTGGTGAAGAGAAATCTACAGGAGATGCTACAGACGGTGAGGCATAATGAGGCATTGGAGAAAGATGGCTTAGCCATTGGGATTGGTTATTGTGCTGTTACCCATTTAGACATGGTGCTGAACCTCCTGAAGGAATTTGCAAAGTTGAATATTTTTAAGAAGACGGCGAGCTACTTTCAGATTATTAAGGACCAGGAGGATATTGAGATAATCAAAGTGAAAAGCACACTTATCTCGTGCTACGGCCATATCATATCTTGCTCCCCAAAGGACCTCACGCCATCCAGAATAGACAATGAAATTGTGGAGAATGTCCTCAACCACTATAACATCAAGATCTTGGGAATGAAGATTGAGGTCAGGGACCTGACATTGAAGTTAAGTCTGATCAAGACAGTGACTCAGTTAGCCTTGACCAGCCAACCTGACAAAATGCCTAGCTACAACTTCAGAAGAAAGGGAGAACTGCTGGGCTACATGCAGGAGCTCATTAAGGCTGAACCAATAGAGGTACTCCTGACCCCTGTCCGAAAGTATGCCATTAACGCCTGCACGGCCCTCTTAAAACTACAGCCCCAGTTTGGTGAAAGCAAGCAACTTGTTCAGACGTGCCTGAGTAGCGTTTTCAACTTGCCTCGACTGGAGTCCGACGCAGTCGATGAGCACCCAAACCTGAGCTTGGCGGACAGGCAGGCACTGTTTAATGAGACCGTGACCTCGCTGCTGGATTTTCTGAAGCAGCTTTTGCTTTGTGACCTGTCGCCAGCTGGACTTCATTCAGCGTTCACCAACTTGGAGACCTGGATTCAGTGCAAAAAAGACTATGCACGAGAAATGGCGATCGAGACCACATTGCAGCTCTTGGTGTTTTACCTGGAGCACATTGGCACCAAAGAGAAGGTTCAATCGCATAACCTGGGCGTTCTCATCGGGCACATGGTGCTGCGATGCACAGATCCATCACGTGTTGTAAGGGAGATGGCTATTGAATGCTTGTACATCCTCCTCTACATTCAGATACGTTTTGAGGGGCTGCCTGTAGATCAGAAAGACACAGAGGTGGAACACCTGAAAGCCATCAAAGATGGGTTACATCAGGGCAACTGCCAACCCATGTTTCAGGTCTGCACCGACGTTGGCAAAGTGCTTTCGAAATGCATGCCCCGTGAGCAGCTGTTGAGTTTACTCTTCACTTTGTTCCTCGGTCTCACTGACAGTCAATCCAACGGCTCCTTCGCGGCCTCAATTGTCACCAATGTCCTCGTTACAAAACGTGGTGCCGGCCTCACTGATGCCCCGATGGTTATCAAAGCCCTCCACAAGGAGTTGAAGTCAATCAGCCAGCCGCACATAATACGCATGGGGGTACGTTCCATCTCCAACCTGGCAGCCCAGCACGTGCCGCTTATATTACCTTGCCTCCTGTGGTACCCCGTCCCGTTCGACGATCACATTCGCGATGTCTGGCGCTCCCTCCTCAAAACCAACTTGGTTGCCGTGCACTCCATCAAGTATCTGCTGGACAATCTGAAGCTTTTGTATGAAAGCAGCAAAGAGTCGCTCTTCAGCGATGAGACAAACTCAGAGCCGCACCAGCCTCAAGCTGTGATCTGTGCTCTCCACCAAATGATCTGTAACCAGGACTCGAACGCTGTGGTCGAGATTCTTTACTCCCAGATATTCAGCACAGTTCTGATTCATCTCAGTTCCAGCGTCCAGGCCCGATTGCCTCAGGACTTTTTTCGAATCCAGGCAGATAAGACATCCTCTGACCTCCCTCAGAAGCCTTGTCATAGCACGGCCTGCCATTACTCCATCGAGATACTGCAGGCGCTCTTGGGGGAGGGGACGGGAGCAGTAACAGACATGACCGAGAAAGGAGGCTGGGACCTGATCAAACAAGCCGAGGTGCACCACGAGGGGGTAACGCTGCTGGCCAGCACCATGGCCAAAGTTGCCGCCTCCCACTTGATCAACATCATCGAACTGCTGACCCCTGTCCTGTCAAACATCCATGAGTGCCAGCGGATCACGGCAACGGCCTACTTTGGAGAGCTTCTCAACCACCTGGTGGTGTGTGAACTGACGTTGACAGACACGCTGGTGGGCAGCCTGCTCCGCTGTCTAATTGACGATTCGCCTGTGGTCCAGTGGTTGGCAGTCAAGGGCCTGGGCCACACTGGGAGCAGGGCCTTGCACAAGACAGAGAAATATGTGGCTAAGCTGCTTCCCGCGATGGTGTCCATCATGGATCAGAATTGCAAAGTCAACGCCCTCCTGACCATCGAGGCGATGACGAGCGTCTCGAAGATCTTGGATAACCTGCACCAAGACTACACCGACGCCATCCTTATTGAGCTGGCAATGGCGCTGCAGGCTTTCTTTGAGAACCGCCAGGAGAGGGTGAGGGCCGCTGCTGTTGGCGTAGTGGGGAACCTCCTCCGATTTGGCAGCATGCAGAGGAACCCCGTGTACCTGGAGTACATCTACACAGCCCTGACCAGCCTGCTGCTCCACCTCAACGAGAAGAACGAGGAGGTCAGGCGAGCCTGCAAACACGTGCTGACCCTGGCCGGTCCCTGGCTGCCATCGGAGAGGATGTGCAAACACCTCCAGGAGCTTGCTCTTGAGAACACGGAGCTGGACTACGAGAGCTATCTGGAGGCGACCGCCCAGCTCATGGCCGAGGAATTGCCCTCAAGGGTCGTCCAATGCATCAAGAGCTGCACCACCTTCTTCAAGAGCGGGCAGACGGAGATGCGGGAGAACGCTGTCACATTTGCGAGTTTCCTCATGCATCACGCCCCAGCCGGTTACCCTCAATCGCTTGGCGCCAATCAGATGTGCAAGGAGGTCCTCACCTTGCTGTCGGACCATGTGCAGAGTGTTCGCATCAAAGCAATGGCTGCAATCCAGCGACTGTACATGTACTAAGTGTTGACTGAATGGCACTGCTGGATGGTGAAATTTTCAGGAATTATATTTTGGAAAGAGTTTCTGCAGCGAAGGAATTCTCATGTTAAAAGCAACAGGAGGCCGGGATTCAGTCTGCCAAAATCCTCCACAACGTCCCAGAGAGAAGCTGAATATTCTTTTTATCCCCTTGTACACTATTGCGCTGTAAAGGATACTGCACTAATAATCATCGGCAACAAAATATATTTATTATTGATCGTGTCGGCACAGGCTCAAGGGGCTGAATAGCCTAAATCTGTGCTATATGATTCTAGGATAATTGGACATGTTAATTTTTCAATAAAGTGTTTACTTAAAATTTTTTTTTAATCGCTTAGGCTTTAGATTGAATTTTGCTCGTGTTCACAATTCATTTCATTACCCCAACAGAGAGGAAAGTTGGCAATTCTTAGGCCAGCATTTGTTGCCTGTCCCTTGAGAAGGTGGTGGTGATCTGCCTTCTTGAACTGCTGCAGTTCATGTGCTGTAGTTTGACCCACAATGTTTTTAGGGAGGGAATTCCAGCAACACTAAAGGAACGGCGATATATTTCCCAGTCAGGATGGTTAGTGTTGGAGGGGCACTTACAAGTGGAGGTGTTCCCATGTACCTGCTGCCCTTGTCCTTCTAGATGGAAGTGGTCATGGGTTTGGAAGGTGCTGTCTGAAGATCTTTGGTGAATTTCTGCAGGGTATCTTGTAGATAGTACACATTGCTGCTACTGAGCGTCAGTGGTGGAGGGAATGGATGTTTGTGGATGTTCCTTGTTCTCATGCATTGCCATTCTACAGTGACTTCCCTTCATGAACCCCTCCATGCACAAACCCACATTTCACTGCCATGGAATTTAATCACTATAGAGCAATAACCATCACTGACCCATTCTCCCTCAGCCAGTATTTGCTGGTAATGGGGAAATAAGGGTGGGAACAGTTGTAGCTCTTGAGGGTTTAGTGTTCTGACTCTTGTGGTGGAGATTTCACATCGGAACATCGCCGATGGTTAAATTGTCTGGAGTTTACTTACTTTTCCACCATTGCATTTGCTGGACACAGGACTCCTTTAAGACCATGAGAAATTGGAACAGGAGTAGGTCATTTGGCCACCTGAGACTGCTGCACCATTGAATAGAGTCATGGCTGATCCATCATTCCTATATCCACTTTCTTGCCTTTTCCCCTGTATCCTTGTTTCCACTATTGTTCAAGAATCTATCGATCTCAGTCTTAAATGTACTCAAGGACTCTGCCCCCACAGGTCTCTGTGGCAAGGCGTTCCAAAGACTCTCAACACTCTGAGAGAAGAAATTCCTCTTCATTTCAGCCTTAAATTGGTGCCTCTTTACTCTGAGACGATGCCCTCCGGTCCTATACTCTCCCATGAGGGGAAATATCCTCTCAGCATTTACCCTTAAGAAGCTCCATAAGAATCCTTTACGTTTCAATAAGATCATCTCTCATTCCTCTAAACTCCAATTAGTAGAGTCCTAACCTGTTTAGTCTTTGCTCATAAGGCAATCCCTCCATACGGGGGATCATCCTAGTGAACCTTCCCTGAACTGCCTCCAAAGAAATGATATCTTTACTTAAATATAGGACCAAAACTGACAAATTTTACATCCTTCCATCTGCTACTCTGCTGCAACCATTTACACCTCCTTTAGGGTCCTGGTTTCAGATATCATCATCTATGCAGGGTCTAGCATTATTTGATAAAAGGATACAGACCCTGAACATTATCTCTTATTTCTCTTTTCACAGATTCTGCCTGGTCAGTATTTCCAGTTTTTGTTCCCTGTTTTTATTTTAGATTTCCAGCTTCTACGTTATTTAATTTTTTGCTTATTTTGTAAAACCGAAAAACAAATCATCCATGGTTAAATGTGACTTTGGGATTTGCTGAATAATGATGAGTATGTTAATAGGCACTTAACAATCAATCCGATAGAATAATTCAATGTGATAATGTGGAATGGCATCCTTTTCACTGTAAGGACCTATTCTCTACCAACAAAAAATATCTGTTGAATTACCTAAGAACTTGGGGAGCCTTTGGTTTCCCATTGCTTGCATGGCAACACCTTGCCAGAGTCAACTTATCAACTAGTTAGCAAACTTTTCTCTTGTGGCATAACTTTTTGCAATTGTTTGAAATTTGGCCTTCTTGCATTTATCCTGATGAGTGCCAAACAAACATCTTCTCAACATATCTCTCTTGTAAGCAGCATATTGATTTTGTCATCATCTCCTTAACCATCACGACCCTTTTGCTGTTTACTGTTTCATGCTTTCCACCTTATCACAGAACTTCCCTTTTAATCCTTCTGTAGTGAAGAAGGTGTTTGGTACACTTGCCTTTATTGGTCGGTGCATTGAGTAAAGGAAACGGGACGTCATGTTATGGCTGTACAGGACATTGGTAAGATGACTTTTCGAATGCTGAATACTGCATTCTCCCTGCTATAGGAATGATGTTGTTAAACTTGATAGAGTTCAGAAAAGATTTACAAGGATATTGCCAGGGTTGGAGGGTTTGAACAATAGGGAGAGGCTGAATAAACTGGGGATATTTTCCCTGGAGCATTGGAGACTGAGGGGTGGCCTTATAGAAGTTTATAAAATCGTGAGGAGCATGGGCGAGGTGAATAGTAAAGGTATTTTTCCCAGGTTGAGGGAGTCCGAAACTAGATAGCATAGGTTTAAGGTGAGAGGGGAAAGATTTAAAAGGGGACCTAAGGGGCAACTTTTTCACGCAGAAGGTGGTGCGTGTATGGAAGGAGCTGCCAGAGGGTATGGTGGAGGCTGGTACAATTACAACACAGGCATCTAGATCGTTATATGAGTAGGAACAGTTTAGAGGGATATGGGCCAAATGCTAGCAAATGGGACTAGATAAGTTTAGGATATCTGGTCGGCATGGACACGTTGGACCGAAGAGCCTGTTTCCGTGCTATACATCTCTATGACTCTAAGACATCTTTTTCTCCACTGAGCTCTGCATTTGTGTAAAACTGTTTAAATTTTGCCATCTTCCGATTCTAATAGCACGTTGTTACCATCTGAGATGTTAACCATTTCTTAATTCATGGAGTCTGAGTATTTTCAACATTTCTTGCTTTATTTTTCATTCCTTGCTTAATTGTTTATTTGGTAAGGTTGTACTTGAAACTGACAGGAGCCTTCATTAAATAAACCACCCATGCAGCTAATGGAATTTAAAACAGAGCTGGTAGGTTGCATGAAGATAAGTGACAGCAATTTGTTTGGAGTGGGTATTCAAAAAAGGAGCATTCCTTGTGAGAGTTCTGATATCATCACGTTTTATATTCCAAATTAATTCTTCCACAATATGCCCCTTATGATTCTATGTCACATTTTCATGTTAATTAACCATCAATTACTACTCAACAGATTTAATTATATTCATTTATCTTTCAAATCGTTGTAGCAACAGTATTGAGGGCTATCTATAACTCCTTTGTTTCTGAAGGTTGTGTTCAAATCACACTCTATAGACCTGAGCACAAAGCTTGGCTGACATTCTCAATGCAGTGCAGAAGGAGTGCTGCATTGTAAGAGGTGCTGTCTTTTTGGGTAGACTGTTAAAATGAGGCCTATCTATCCTGACATTTGGATGTAAAAGGTCCCATGAGACCAACTGAAGAAAAGAAGTGGAAATTTCACCATAAGAGTCCTACCCAACATTTATGTCTCAATCAACGTAGATTGCCAAAACAAAATACTACAGCTGGTGGAAATCTGAAATGAAAGCAGGAAATGTTTGAGATGACCAGCAAATCAGGCATCATCCGTGGAAAGAAGCACAATTAATATTTCAGCTCAATGACCTTTTGCCTGAACTAGAGAGAAGCAGAAACATGAACAGATTTTAACAAAATACAGAGGGCAACAAAGTGAACAGTGAAGGAAAGAATAAAAGAGGAGGTCATTATAAAAAATTATAAAAAAAGGGATGATGGTGCAAGGGGGGCAAAAGGGAATGATAATGTGACAAATTAAGAAAAAAAAGAAGATGGATCTGGAGGAGATAGTAAGAACTGCCGATGCTGGAATCAGAGATAACACAGTGTGGAGCTGGAGGAACACAGCAGGCCAGGCAGCATCAGAGGAGCAGGAAAGTTGATGTTTCGGGTCGGGACCCTTCTTCAAAAATGGGCATTTCTGATGAAACTTCCCATTTCTGGAGAAGGGTCCTGACTCAAAATGTCAACTTTCCTGCTCCTCTGATGCCGCCTGGCCTGCTGTGTTCCTCCAGCTCCACACTGTGTTATCTATGGATTTGGAGGAGATGTGAATGTGAATTGCAGCTTCATTGCCCAGTTATGATCTGATCTTGTTGAATTTAATGTGAATCTGAAAGGCTGTGAAGACCACAGTTGAGAGATGAGGTGCTGTTCAAGAGCTTCAGTTGAGGTTTGTTAGTACAGAGTAGAAGACCAACAGTGGAGAAATCAGGGTGCATATAGAGTGAAAGACCAAAATGAAGTAATCAGATTAAATCTCCCTTTATCCTTCAGTGCTTTAATTAGAACAATCCCAGCTTCTCTCATCTCTCCAGATATCTGAAATTGCTCATCCTTAGCTGCCCATAATGTGCAATTCATCAGAAATGTACTCACCACCACAAGACCTTTCATCTTCCTGAAATTGTTTTCACTTACAGCCTGTGATAAAATCCATTTTTGCGACCCCTTTGTGCTATGTAACTGAACATTTCTGCATTCACTCAGTGCTAGCTCCTTTTAATAATGTCTCTTCCTGAGACTCTGGAACAAACTGCTAACACAGCTCACTTATTTCTTGGCTTTGGTTGCTCCATTGCCTCTTTCACAGTCTTCAGTTTCCGGAGTTTTTGTCTCACTGGTATTAAACCACTCAGGATTTCTTTTTTTCTGCAAAACTGTACTGTTGGTGCTACAGGTCCTGTTCAATTTGAGTGATCCATCTCTGAAAGAAACC